AAAAAAACTCCCAATCGAATAGGTATAGAAGGGAAATTCCTCAACATTTAAAGGGCATCTATAGAAAACCAGCAGCCAACATCATTCTTAATGGAGAGAGGCTGAAAACATTCCTCTTGAGAACAGGAACAAGACAAGGATGCCCTTTTTCACCACTCCTATCTAACATTTTGCTGGAAGTCCTAGCTAGAGCCATAAAGCAAGAAAAAGAAATAAAGGGCATCCAAATTGGTAATGAAGAGGTAAAACTGTCCCTATTTGTGGATGATACGATACTATACACAGGAAACCCGAAAAACTTCATGAGAAAACTACTAGAACTAATAGAAAGATTCAGAAGAATAGCAGGATACAAGATAACCATACTAAAATCAGTTGAATTCCTATACACCAATAAAGAGAACAATGAAAAGGGAAACAACACCATTTTCAATAGCCCCTAAAAAATAAATACTTAGGAATAAATCTAACCAGGGATGTAAAAGACCTAGACAAAGAAAACTACAAAACTACTGCAAGAAACCAAAAGAGATCTACATGAATGGAAAAACATACCATGCTAATGGATAGGTAGATTCAACATTGTGAAAATGTCAGTTCTACCCAAAGTGGTTTACAAATACAGTGCAATCCCGATCCAGATACCAACAGCATTCTTTAAAGAGATGGAAAAACTAATTATTAACTTTATATGGAAAAGGAAGGAGCCCCAGATAAGTAAAGCACTATTGAAGAAGAATAAAGTCAGAGGACTCATACTACCTGACCTCAGAACCTACAATACAGCTATAGTAGTCAAAACAAGGACAGGTATATTGACCAATGGAACAGAATTGAGAACCCAGATATAAATCCATCCACCTTTGGTCACCTGATCTTCAACAAGGGTCCAAATCCATCAAATGGGGAAAAGACAGTCTTTTTAACAAATGGTGCTGGCGAAACTGGATGTCCATCTGCAAAAAAAATGAAACAGGACCAATACCTCACACCATACACAAAAACTAATTCCAAATGGATCAAAGACCTGAATATAAAGCCCAAAACTATACAGATCATAGAAGAGAAAATAGGATCAACACTAGAGGCCCTAATACACGGCATTAACAGAATACAAACCATAACTAACAACGCACAAACTCCAGAAGATAAGCTAGATAACTGGGATCTTCTAAAAATTATACACTTATGCTCATCAAAAGACATTACCAGAAGAGTAAAAAGAGAACATACAGACTGGGAAAAAATTTTGGGCTATAACAAATCCGACAAAGGTCTAATCTCTAAAATCTACAGGAAAATCCAACACCTCTAGAATAAAAAGGCAAATAATCCAATTAAAAGAATGGACGAAGGAAATGAACAAATACTTCACCAAAGAAGACAATCAAGCGGCTAACAGACACATGAGGAAATGCTCAGGATCACTAGCCGTTAGAGAAATGCAATCAGAACCACAATGAGATACCATCTCACCCTGGCACAAATCAAAAAAAAAAAAACCAAGAAAATAACAAATGTTGTAGAGGCAGCGGGGAGATGGGAACTCTTACGCACCGCTAGTGGGAATGCAAAATGATACAACCATTTTAGAAAACGATATGGCACTTCCTTAGAAAGCTAGAAGTGCAAACACCGTATGATCCAACAGTCCCACTCCTAGGAATATAACCTAGAGAAATAAGAGTTCTCACACGAATAGACATGTGCACACCCATGTTCATTGCAGCACTGTTCACAATAGCAAAAAGATGGAAACAACCTAGATGCCCATCAACAGATGAATGGATAAACAAACTATGGTACCTACACACAATGGAGTACTATGCAATGATAAAGAACAGTGATGAATCTGCAAAGCATCTCACAACATGGGTGTATGTGGAGGACATTGTGCTGAGTGAAGTAAGTCAATCACAAAAGGACAAATATTGTATGAGACCACTGCTATAAAAATTTATGAAAAGGTTTATACATAAAAAGAAACAATCTTTGATGGTTACAAGGTAGGGAAGGGGTGGGGATGGAAGAACACTAAATAGACAATAGAGAAGTGGTCACTTTGGGTACGACTGTACACAATACTGGGGAAGCTAGCACATCTTGTACAAAGCAAGGTTATGGAAGCTCCATAGGTATCCAAACTCCCTGAGGGACCAAATTGCTGGGCTGAGGGCTGTGGGGAACATGGTCTCAGGGAACATCCAGCTCAGATGACATATAACATAGTTTATAAAGAAAATGTTCCACGTTCTACTTTGGTGAGTAGCATGCGGAGTCTTAAAAGCCTGTGAGCAGCCATCTAAGATACTCCACTGGTCTCATCGTTTCAGGAGCAAGGGAGAATGAAGAAAATTAAAGATAAAAGGGAAAGATTAATCCAAAGGACTAATGGACCACAACTACCACGGCCTCCACCAGACTTTTGTTGTTATGTTCCGTCGAGTCGATACCAACTCATAGCGGCCCCGTGTACAACAGAACGAAACACTGCCCAGTCCTGCGCCATCCTCACAATCGTTGTTATGCTTGAGCCCACTGTTACAGCCACTGTGTAAATCCATCTCGTTGAGGATCTTCCTCTTTTTCGCTTATCCTCTACCAAGCATGATGTCTTTCTCCAGAGACTGATCCCCCCTGACAACATGTCCAAAGTATGTAAGATGTAGTCTCACCATCCTTGCTTATAAGGAGCATTCTGACTGTACTTCTTCCGAGACAGATTTGTTAGTTCTTTTGGCAATCCATGGTATATTCAATATTCTTCACCAACACCACAATTCGAAGGCGTCAATTCTTCTTTGGTCTTCCTTATTCACTGTCCAGCTTTCGCATACATATAATGTGATTGCAAATACCATGGCTTGGGTCAGGTGCACCTTAGTCTTCAAGGTGAAAAACATCTTTGCTTTTCAACACTTTAAAGAGGTCTTTGGCAGCAGATTTGCCCAGTGCAATGCATGGTCTGATTTCTTGACTGCTGCTTCTGTGGGTGTTGTTTGTGGATCCAAGGAAAACGAAATCCTTGACAACTTCAATCTTTTCTCCATTTATCATGATGTTGCTTATTGGTCCAGTTGTGAGGATTTTTGTTTTCTTTATGTTGAGGTGTAATCCATACTAAAGGCTATGGTCTTCGATCTTCATCAGTAAGTACTTCAAGTTCTCTTCACTTTCAGCAAGCAAGGTTGTGTCGTCTGAATAACACAGGTTATTAATGGTCTTCCTCCAATCCTGATGCCCCATTCTTCTTCATATAGTCCAGCTTCTTGGATTATGTCCTCAGCATACAGATTGAATATGTATGGTGAAAGGATACAACCCTGACAAACACCTGTCCTGACTTTAAACCAGGCAGTATCTCCTCATTCTGTCTGAACAGCTGTCACCAGACTGAGTCCAGTAGAACTAGATGGTGCCTGGCTACCACCACCAATTGCTCTGACAGGGATCACAATAGAGGATCCCAGACACAGCTGGAGAAAAATGTAGAACAAAATTCTAACTCACAAAAAAGACCAGACTTTCTGGCCTGACAGAGACTGGAGAAACCCCGAGAGAGTGGCCCCCACACACCCTTTTAGCTCAGTAATGAAGTCATTCCTGAGGTTCACCCTTCAGCCAAAGATTAGACAAGCTCATAAAACCAAATGAGACTAAAGGGGCACACCAGCCCAGGGACAAGGACTAGAAGGCAAGAGGGAACAGAAAAGCTGTTAATGGGGAACCCGAGGTCGAGAAGGGAGAGTTTTGACATGTGGAGTTGTTTACCAATGTCATAAAACAATATGTGTACTAACTGTTTAATGAGAAGCTAGTTTGTTCTGTTAACCTTCATCTAAAGTACATTTTTTTAAAAAAAGAATAATGGGCTGCTTCTTTTTATCTGTTAATGCAGTCAGAATTGCCTTAGCTTTGTCATATGCTGCCATCTCTCACTTCTAGCTCATACTGAGCTTGCAGAGAGTCTGCGTTTCACTTCCCCCCATTTTGTTCTCATAGAGCCTTCTGCTTGGGCAGTAATTTGTTAGCATTTTATATGAATTCCAGTTGTAATTTTATACTATTCATTTTGTTCATTTAGAATATTTGAAACTCTTGATATTTTTATCCAGGACATTGAATTAGTGTTTCCCACTTGAGGCTGTCTGCACGCTTTATAAATGTCACGTTATGTTGGTATGCCAGTAGTGGGCAATGTGAAGACGGCAAATAATAAAATTCAGTGGCATATTCACCAAGGTTTTAACACTGTGGTTTTTTCAAATTACATTTCAACCTGTAACTCCATTCATAGAATCCTGGAGTTTTATATTTACACTTAAATGATATTTATTAAATAAAAATATATAATTAAATAAAAATATATACTGTGAGTTTTTAATAATATTTAAGTGTCATATTTTGCCTCCATAAGAAAACAGAACAGGAATAGTTTCATATACTCTAAGAGCTTACACTTGTAAAATGGATATCAAACACAGTCATTTATGTACATATTCATATATATATTTATATACGTTTATGTTCATGTCTCTCATAATCAAATCCAATGTAAAATAGTACACAGCAGACAGCAAAACATTAAATAATTGTAAATCTGCTTGCTTTGTTTTACTTACCTCATGAAGATATTTCCACGGGCCTTGTAGGGATTGCATACTTTTAAAGATTTAAAGTATTGAAAAGGGAAGTGGTAGGACTAGGTGAAAGTTACAGTTGATAGGATATTGTAATATAAACCAATCATGTGAAAATTTAAGAAACGAGACATTAAGAAAATATACTTTATGTTGAGTCCCTTCCATTCATTATTTGAAGAAAGTGTATGTTTGATCAAATGAAAAGGTCCTAGTTATATGTTTACAATGAATTTATAAACCATAAAACTTGGATATTTTCTCATACGTTTTATAGAAAAAAAACTATTCTTTATCTAAAAATATACTACGAGTGTGTTAAGTGTTGGGGGATGAAAACTGCCTTTTCGTTTTACACAGGATGATAGCAAGCAGGCACAGTTCCTCGCTCTGGCTGTTGTTTACTTCATTTCGGTTCTCATGGTTTCCAAGTATCGGGACATATTAGAACCCCAGCGAGAGACTGCGAGAGCTGGAAGCCAACCAGGTAGAAACATCAGACAAGAAATCAATTCGCCAACAAGTACAGGTACTTAATTTTTTTTTTTAATTATTTGAATTTTCACTATCATTTATCTTTTTCTTTTCAGTTTTATATTCAGATGTAAACTGGAGCTATTCGTAATCACTTCAAATATTTATAAGTAGGTGGGATCTAAATGCTAAGTTAATATTCTTTAATTCCATATAATATTTTCATGATATTTGCTATGTTCTCATTTTATCAGTGTACTTTTGGTTTTAATGTTTTCTACTTATTAATATAAATCATTCATTTATACTACCATTTAATATGGAAATAACTCATATGTTTTTAAATGTATTTTTTTAACCTTTATAGACATGAAAATAAGAGATCTTTACAGAGTAGATCAAGACCGAGAATATGCCAAAACGCAGCCGATCTCTAAGATACTGATCTTTTTTCTCCCACTCTCTTTTTTTGTGTGTGTGTGCTGTATACACTTATTTCAGTATCTAAATATTCTATCAGATTTAAAATAAGCAAATATACGTTCCAATCTTTATACCAAAGTTGCTTCAACTGAAATCAAAGACTTGTAGAAAGTTAACATTACAGACAACAGTGAACCCTCTTGGGTCAGGTGGTCTTTCAAGTCTGCAGAAAACACTAATGTTGCAGAAGTCTTGCATTTTCAGCCTTTCCGACTTTGCTTGAAAACTATAAACATATTTTATGGCAACTAGTATTTTAATATTATTATGCACCTTCTATCACTTGCATTTCTTGCCAGCTGTTTATATCAGTGGTATTTCTTTGTTGTTTGTAGTGTTACCTTGGTAACCCAATGGTTATTTCATGTACCACTGGATTAATTTGTAGTTGAAATTGTCTTTCCTTAATAAATGCAAAGGAGCCCTGGTGGAGCAGTGGTTAAATGTTGCCTGCTTACTGAAAGGTCGGCAGTTCAGACCCACCAGCCACTCCACAGGAGAAAGATGTGGCAGTCTACTCCTGTAAAGATTGGAGCCTTGGTGATGCAGTGGTTAAATGTTTGGCTGCTAACCAAAAGGTTGGCAGTTTGAATCCACCAGCTGCTCCTTGGAAACCCTATGGGGAGTTCTAAGATTACAGCTTTGGAAACCCCACGGGGCAGTTCTACTCTGTCCTATAGGGTTATTATGAGTTGGAATCAACTTGACAGAATGGGAGTTTTGAATAAATGCATATAATATGTAAATGAAATGAATTTTTTAAAAATCGAGTAGAAATTAGTGGCCAAATCTCTGCTGCTTGTTTTCCGTATGCTTTTCATGTCTTATTTACCTTTGAAGTTTTTGTGGAGGGTATGGACTATGCTTCAGCTGGAGGATTTTGCTGATGCATGCCATATTTATTTTTGATGCATAAACACTACATTATTTCATTGTAGTTTACTTTTGTTTTTAACTTTATCCTTCAAATTAAATATCTTGCCATCCCAGTTCATATCTTTTCACTATTTAAAAAAACTGTTAAGACTTTATTTATCGTGTTAATCAACCCTTTTTCATCAACTTTAATGCATTCATATCTGTCATATCTGTGTACATGTGTGTAAAATAAGCACTATTACAGTGAACCTTCCAGTTCTGATTTTCTTGTGTCTTTGTGCGTCTCTGTGTATTTTGCTAAAGTCACTCTACTTAATGAGCGTATGCTTTCACTTAATGGAAAACCTCTTTCCTTCCCTCAGAGATGCGTCCTTTGTTGCTAGCACTGTTTGCATGTTGTATAATATAGAGTTGTCGTGGGTCTTCAGTGGACCAGGCTGCAGGTTGTTACATGCTGGCTCAAATTTGATTCCGTGATTTTCTCCACAGTTGTGGTCATACCCTCTATCCCTCATCCAAGTCTGAACCATGGATTCCTTGCCAAGTTAATTCCTGAGCAGAGCTTTGCCCACTCATTTTACAAAGGTAATACTGACCTCAGCTCCTGACCTGTTTGGATATTCTTATTTCATGAAGTGTTATACAATAAATATCCATTATGTAATTATTTATGACGAAGTATACACCTCACGTTCCGTGGAGATACGATATGTGGCATTTATACCTGACTGTTGACAGAACAGTTTAGTTTTTACAGTTGTATTCATTCCATTTCTTTAAGTATCATCTGCGCGGTTAAGGACACCCCATTATATGTATATTAATATGCACAGTGGTGACATTCACTGGAGACCCCAGAAGAACCACACCTGAGTCGTGGGCTAATTTAGTCCTAGTGTAAAGGCTACCCGAGACCCAGCAGAAAAAAAGCTTCAGACAAGCCGCGACAGCATCAGACTGATCTGTAAATGAGTTAAGTTCCTGTCAGGACGGAGTCCAATACTTTTTAAAGAAGTAGAAAAAAATCCGTCACCCAAAATGTAAATTAAATGTTAGGCATTCAGTGAAAAATTAGTAAACGTGCAAAGAAGCAGGAAATGTGAGTATATCCAGGTGACGTATCAATCAATAGAAACCAATTCAGACATGACAGAGAGGGTGGGATTATCGGATAAGGACATTAAAGCAGATATTATATGTTATGATCAGGATGCTTTTAATTTAAAAAAAAAAAAAGTGAGCATTTGAGGAGAGAAATGGAAAAAAATATGTATATATAAAGAAAAAACAATTGAAAGTTTTAGGGATGAAAAATACAACATCTGAAATGATAATGTCTGTGGATGAGATTAACATGTGATGAGGCACTGCGGAACCAAAGATTATGGTTAGCATTGCTCCTGGGACAGTGAATATGATAGATTTTACTCCTGCAATTAGGTTATGTTATATAGCACAATTGCTTAAGAAAAGGTGATAATCAAGGTGGGCCTGACCTTCTCCTACGAGGCCTTAAAAACAGAGGGTTTTCTCTGGCTGATTGTGGAACAGGAAGTCAGAGAGTTTCAGAGTGTGAGAGGAATTCGTTCGACATGAGGGAGGTTTTTCACTGCTGAGGTGGAGGTGACCACGGGCAAGAAACTGAGAGCCCCTGAAGGAGATGAGAGTTGTCCCCAGTCCTACAATGACAGGCAGCTGAGTTCTGGCAATAAGTGCAGTGACATTGGAAGAGGACCCTGAGCTCTTGAGAACGCAGCCAGCCAGCAGCTTGATTTCCATCTCAGCAGAGAACTCAGAAATGCTATACTGAACTTCTGGGTGCTGTTTTAAACCACTAACTTAGTGGTATTTTGTTATGTAGAAATAGAAAACTAATGGAATGCTTCAGGAGACATTCTAAACCAGTCTACAATATGTGTTATTGAAGTCCTAAAAGGAGGGAATGGGGGAGGGGGAGAAAAAAATAAGAAGAGAAGAAATAGTGGCCATAGTTTTCAAATTTGATGAAAACTATAATCTGAAAGATCCCAGCATTTTAACAAACTCCAAGCAGGATATGCACAAAGAAAACCCCAACAAAACACATCATAATCAAGGTGCTGAAAACCAAAGATAAAGAAGAAATCATCCAAGTACCCCAGGGGAGGGAGGGAGGGAGGAGCGAAGGTAAGAACGTCTATAGACTGCTCATCAGAAACTATTCAAAACAGAAGATGATGAAATGACATTTTTTAAGAGCTGAAAAAAAAAAAAATCAGCCTAGACTTCTATATCCAATACAAATATCTAAAAATTAGGGCAAAAATAAACCTCTTTGTGACAAAATGTGATAAATTCTGTCTCCAGGAGACCTACACTATGAGAGATGTTACAGAAAGTTCTCAAGGAAAACAAAACAAGATGGAAACTTGGATCTACAATAGGAATGAAGAGTTCAGTATTTCACATACGAGTGTTACTGCTTTGTGGGCTTCTTATAAGGCAAAACTTCCACTCGTTAAGATTGAAAATTCGTGTACAGTTGCAAAGGCATTAGTGAAAAAATAAAACTAGTTTGTTTGAGAAGAGTGTGTGAATGTGAGCCAAGAGAGGAAGCTCCATGACACCCTAGTTCAGTGTATTCAGTAACTGGCTGACTATCCACAAGACCAGCTTACAGAACAAATAAGGTGAGGGAAGTGTTTTTCATTACACTTCAATGAATGCACAGGTATTTTTTATTCATATGCAACTGTTGAACATCATGGTGAAATGAAGGAAAATTTCTTTCTTTCACCTTTATTGCTGACAAACACAACTAGCTCTGAACTGTATAAACTATGAAAGATTGAATTGTCAACAAATGTTGTTTGGAGTTTGCTTTGTGCAGGAATGTTTTCTAGTGGCTTAGCTGCAGTGACTGGGAAATATTCTGGAATAAGAAAAAAACAAACCAAACCTGTTGCTGTTGAGTCAATTCTGATTCACAGTGACCCTACAAGACAGAGTAGAACTACCCAGGTTAAGGAGCCTGCATCAGAACGTCAGTGCACAGCTGTCTTTATCAGGAAAGTTTGGCTCTGAAAACAATATTAGCTGAACAGAACAGTGGTCCTCATGACATAGTATAACTTTGAATTACTTTAAGGTTAATTTGGTAAATTTGTGATTTCTCTATTATGTGATAATATGGAAGTTAATCATAGATTACTGTTACTGCATTCCATGGTACAATGGTTATGGACAAGAAAAATTCTGTTGATGCTGTTGGCACCACAAAGTGAACTACTACAGAGTAACAAACCAATTTAATTCTACACTTTAAAGATGCATTGGACTGGCCTTTTTGACGTCTAAAACATTTTTAATGAACTTAACACTTCCATACACGAAAGGATTACAACATATTTTTCAGTGGCAGATAAGAACAAAGGACAAAAGCAGAAGTTAGAGTCTTGGAAGTATAGTTTGTATAATGTTTCATAATTTTATATTATCATTGAAGTATTCTTATCTTCAGTGAAGATCTTGATACATAGAGTACATCATGGAAAAATTACCACCCATCATTTTATGGATTTGATAGAATGTTTTTTGTTTTATTTTCCATTAAAAGAAGATCCATACATAGGAAATTCATGGATTTGAATCCACTTCTGTCACTGAAATATAATTTATATTTAATTATGACTATGTAAGATTGTTATGGATTGAATTGTGTCCCCTCAAAAAATATGATGAAATTCTAACCACTGCACCTGTGAATGTGACCTTGTTTAGAAATAAGGTTCTTCTGTTTTATCAGTTATCAAGGTCATAATGGAATAGGGTAATCCTAATCCCTTCTGCCACTACATGTCTGTCAGTTTGTCGTACTGTGGTGGCTTGGGTGTTGCTGTGATACTGGAAACTTTGCCACCTGTATTTCAAATACCAGCAGGGTCACTCTCGGTGGACAGGTTTCAGTGGAGCTTCCAGACTAAAATAGACTAAGAAGAAGGCCCTGGCAGTCTACTTCTGAAAAAATTGCCAGTGAAAACCTTATGAATATCAGTGGAACATTGTCTGATATAGTTCCAGAAGGTGAGCCCTTCAGGTTGGAAGGCACTCAAAATACGACCGGGAAACAGCTGCCTCCTCAAAGCAGAGTCAACCTTAATGATGTGGATGGAGTCAAGCTCTCAGAACCTTCATTTGCTGATGTAGCACAACTCAAAATGGGAAGAAACAGCTGCAAACATCCGTTAATAATTAGAACATAGAATGTACGAAGTATGAATCTAGAATAATTGGAAATCATAAAAAATGAAATGGAACACATAAACATTGACATCCTAGGCATTATTAGTGAGCTAAAATGGACTGATATTGGCCACTTTTAATAGAACAATCATGTTCCCCAGTGCCAGGAATGACAAATTGAAGAGGAATGGCATTGCATTCATCGTAATAAAGAACATTTCAAGATCTATCCTGAAGTACAGTGCTGTCAGTGATAGCATAATATCCATACACCTACAAGGAAGACCAGTTAATACAACTATTATTCAAATTTATGCACCAACCACTAATAGCAAAGATGAGAAAATTGAACATTTTGACCAACTTCTGCAGTCTGAAGTTGATCAAACATGCAATCAAGATGCATTGATAATTACTGGTGATTGAAACACAAGAGTTGGAAACAAAGAAGAAGGATCTATAGTTGGAAAATATGGTCTTGGTGATAGAAATGATGCTGGAGATGGAGTGATCAGAATTTTTCAAGACCAACGACTTATTCATTGCAAACACCTTTTTTCAACAACGTAAATGGTGACTATACATGTGGACCTTGCCAGATGGAATACACAGGAATCCAGTTGACTATATCTGTGGAAAGAGATGATGGAAAAACTCAGTATCACCAGTCAGAACAAGTTCAAGGGCCAACTGTGGAACAGACCATCAATTGCTCATATGCAAGTTCAAGCTGAAGTTGAAGAAAATTAGAACAAGTCCAGGAGAACCAAAGTATGACCTTGAGTATATCCCACCTGAATTTAGAGACCATCTCCAGAATAGATTTGACTCATTGAACACTAATGACCAAAGATCAGTTGAACTGTGGAATGACATCATATATGAAGAAAGCAAGAGGTCACTGAAAAGACAGGAAAGAAGGAAAAGACCAAAATGGATGTCAGAAGAGACTCTGAAACTTGCCCTTGAACATCGAGTTGCTAAAGCAAATGGAAGAAATGATGAAGTAAAACAGCTGAACAGAAGATTTCAAAGGGCAGCTTGAGAAGACAAAGTAAAGTATTATAATCGAACGTGCAGAGACCTAGAGATAGAAAACCAAAAGGGAGGGACGTGCTCGGCACTTCTCAAGCTGACTGAACTGAAGAAAAATTCAAGCTTTGAGTTGCAGTATTGCAGGGCTTTAAGGGGAAATTCTAAATGATACAAAACCAAAAAAACCAAACCTTTTGCCAATGAGTTTATTCCGACTCATAGCAACCCTATGGGACAGAGTAGAACTGCCCCCATAGGGTTTCCAAAGAGGGGCTGGTGGATTTGAACTGCTGACTTTTTGGCTAACAGCCATAGCTACTTACCAGTGC